ATTGATAATTATTTTCTTTTACTCAAACTGTTTTTTTTTTAATATTGTTGCTGCTGATAACATTGCTAGAAAAACTAATCGAGGGAATTTCCAACGAACAGTTTTTCCTAAAAAGCAGATAACAGAATATATCATATTTATACCTCTGAGATCCTCAATGAACCAATTCATCTTTTTCTTCTAATTAAGTAAACAAAATACTCTTTAAAGATTTTTCCCATTTTTTTGTTTTCTTTTTTGAAATATTGACACTTATTAAAAATAAATTTTTTTTTGTTTGAATTTCAATTGTAAAGTAATCTGAGTTGATATACATTGAAAGTAATAGAGTGATAAAGTTTTGGATTTTTGGCGAACATTAATACACTTTGGCGATATGTGTGTAAGGGAAATCCAACTTTTGATGAAGCTAATCATTCATTGGCAGTACGAAACATTATAGCTTATAAAATTTTTTTATTCTTTTAGTTACTGTTATCATCGTTATTATTATTATAAGTATTAGTATTATCAATATTTTCAGTATTATGATTGCTGTTTTTTTTGGAATTATATATATTGCTTTTAAGCAAAAAAGAAAATAAGCTAATTTAAAATGCTTTTTGATTATTAACTGCATCGTCGTCATCATCGATGTCGTCCTTATTTATGATTACGTAAGTAAAAAAAAAAAGCTAAATTTGGCTGTCATTTTTCCTTTATCTGCTTTTTGCATTTGTTTTGTTGTTAAAATATTTTTATACATTCCCTATTGTAACAAAACTTTCGAAACACTTCAAGACATCCTTTGCAGCTACACAAAAATTATAAAAAAAAATCTTTTCTTACCGCAGTTTTTTTTTCTTCCTGTCGACTGTTGTATTTGATTGGTTTTGGGGAACACTGCTGTTCAGTTGTTGTTCTGCGTTGGTTACGACTTACTTTCGTTATATGGCGACTCATGATTTTTTTGTTTCAGATGTATGCCGAGTGTTCGTGGTCAGATACAGATGCTTCACCATTTTTTAATTATCATCTTCGGTCATCAAATTCGTCACCGGAAAATCTTAGTGCTATACGAATATCCGGTTTTCGAGCAGCTCTTGATCCACTCTACGGTTATCCATCTGTGGTTGTCAGCGCATGTGAACGTGATGCAGGTAAGAAATCGGTATCAGAAATCTGTTGTGGTTTAAAATACGCTAAGAAATATTTGAATGAATTATTGTTTGTCATATTTTCAATGCTGCTGCTTCTTTTTTTTTTCCACTTTTTTTCTGCCAGTTTAGCAAAATTTGCAGTAAGGTTTGAAAAAAAAATTGCATTTGTCAAATACAATGCTGTCTGTTGAATGCAACTGTCGTCTATGGAAAAGTTTTAAATTCAATTTTCACTATTTACTCGTCTTCTTCCTTCAAAAACTTTTTTTGTCTTAATTTTTATAACGCTATAACGTTAAATTCGGTTATATAAATTTGCTACAAAACTAAGACACTGTTTAAAGCTGCATATTTTTTAGCATATTCATTTTACCATTTTCAGTTGAGTGCATACAAATGCTATGCAGATTACCGGGTATTTTGAAAAGAAGATTTGTTCTACTTAAGAAATGAGATAAAACAAAAGAAAAAAAAGCTGAAGTTAGATTGGTAGCACAAGTTTGATAAGTGACAAGTTAAGTGAATTCAGATGACAAATGAGGTACTGGATTATTGTTTCCAATCAATATTCAATTTTTACTATTTACTAATTACTATTTTTACTAAAAAAGTTTCTTGCTCTCTTTACGCTTATCAACTATACCACTAAAAACCAATCCGAAAAAAAACTAGTAAGAAAAAAATTAAGTAATAGATCTGGTGTCTGGTGTTTTAATGTTTTTTCTTCGTGCCGAACCTTGCAATCTTTATCTATGAGAATGACTAACTAATTCATTAAAATGATGCATTCTGTAAGATGGAACAATAATTATTATGGTCGGTGATATAATCGTTACTGGTGCTGCCCTTAGTCTTATAAAGCAGCGATTTATGATCTCTAACTTTTGCGTTTGTTAGTCAAATTACCGTTTTTTCTGTTACTTTTTTTCCTCGTAATTCATTTATAAATAGTTTTAGAAATTATAAGCAATTTACGTAGAATAAAATAAAATGAAGTAGTTGCATAAACAGGTGTTTGACATTTCTGGAAACGTAAACTTGGCTTCTATGATGTTTTCAAAAAAAAAAAAAAAAAAAAAAA